CATGTCACTGGTTATCGTGTCTACCAGCACCAGGTGTCTTCTTTCCTTACCTGTGTTCCACATTTAGCAGTGCACACATGTCATTGGTTATCGTGTCTACCACCACCAGGTGTCTTCTTTCCTTACCTGTGTTCCACATTTAGCAGTGCCCGCATGTCATTGGTTATCGTGTCTACCACCACTAGGTGTCTTGTTTCCTTACCTGTGTTCCACATTTAGCAGTGCCCGGAATATCACTGGTTATCGTGTCTACCACCACCAGGTGTCATGTTTCCTTACCTGTGTTCCACATTTAGCAGTGCCCGTGATGTCATTGGTTATCGCGGTTCTACCACCACTAGGTGTCTTGTTTCCTTACCTGTGTTCCACATTTAGCAGTGCCCGCATGTCATTGGTTATCGCGGTCTACCACCACCAGGTGTCTTCTTCCTACCTGTGTTCCACATTTAGCAGTGCCCGAATATCACTGGTTATCGTGTCTACCAGCACCAGGTGTCTTGTTTCCTTACCTGTGTTCCACATTTAGCAGTGCCCGCGATGTCACTGGTTATCGTGGTCTACCAGCACCAGGTGTCTTCTTTCCTTACCTGTGTTCCACATTTAGCAGTGCCCGCATGTCATTGGTTATCGTGGTTCACCACCACCAGGTGTCTTGTTTCCTTACCTGTGTTCCACATTTAGCAGTGCCCGCATGTCATTGGTTATCGTGTCTACCACCACTAGGTGTCTTGTTTCCTTACCTGTGTTCCACATTTAGCAGTGCCCGAATATCACTGGTTATCGTGTCTACCACCACCAGGTGTCATGTTTCCTTACCTGTGTTCCACATTTAGCAGTGCCCGCGATGTCATTGGTTATCGTGGTCTACCACCACTAGGTGTCTTGTTTCCTTACCTGTGTTCCACATTTAGCAGTGCCCGCGATGTCATTGGTTATCGTGTCTACCACCACCAGGTGTCTTCTTTCCTTACCTGTGTTCCACATTTAGCAGTGCCCGAATATCACTGGTTATCGTGTATACCACCACCAGGTATCTTGTTTCCTTACCTGTGTTCCACATTTAGCAGTGCCCGCATGTCACTTGTTATCGTGTCTACCACCACCAGCTGTCTTGTTTCCTACCTGTGTTCCACATTTAGCAGTGCCCGCATGTCATTGGTTATTGTGTCTACCACCACTAGGTGTTTTGTTTCCTTACCTGTGTTCCACATTTAGCAGTGCCCGCATGTCATTGGTTATTGTGTCTACCACCACTAGGTGTCTTGTTTCCTTACCTGTGTTCCACATTTAGCAGTGCCCGCATGTCATTGGTTATTGTGTCTACCACCACTAGGTGTCTTGTTTCCTTACCTGTGTTCCACATTTAGCAGTGCCCGCATGTCACTTGTTATCGTGTCTACCACCACCAGGTGTCTTGTTTCCTTACCTGTGTTCCACATTTAGCAGTGCACGCATGTCATTGGTTATCGTGTCTACCACCACTAGGTGTCTTGTTTCCTTACCTGTGTTCCACATTTAGCAGTGCCCGAATATCACTGGTTATCGTGTCTACCAGCACTAGGTGTCTTGTTTCCTACCTGTGTTCCACATTTAGCAGTGCCCGAATATCACTGGTTATTGTGTCTACCACCACCAGGTGTCTTGTTTCCTTACCTGTGTTCCACATTTAGCAGTGCCCGCATGTCATTGGTTATCGTGTCTACCACTACTAGGTGTCTTGTTTCCTTACCTGTGTTCCACATTTGGCAGTGCCCGAATATCACTGGTTATTGTGTCTACCAGCACCAGGTGTCTTGTTTCCTACCTGTGTTCCACATTTAGCAGTGCCCGAATATCACTGGTTATTGTGTCTACCAGCACCAGGTGTCTTGTTTCCTTACCTGTGTTCCACATTTAGCAGTGCCTGCATGTCACTGGTTATCGTGTCTACCAGCACCAGGTGTCTTCTTTCCTTACCTGTGTTCCACATTTAGCAGTGCCCGCATGTCACTGGTTATCGTGTCTACCACCACCAGGTGTCATGTTTCCTTACCTGTGTTCCACATTTAGCAGTGCCCGAATATCACTGGTTATCGTGTCTACCACCACCAGGTGTCTTCTTTCCTTACCTGTGTTCCACATTTAGCAGTGCCCGCATGTCACTGGTTATCGTGTCTACCAGCACCAGGTGTCTTCTTTCCTTACCTGTGTTCCACATTTAGCAGTGCCCGCGATGTCATTGGTTATCGTGGTCTACCACCACCAGGTGTCTTGTTTCCTTACCTGTGTTCCACATTTAGCAGTGGTGCCACATGTCATTGGTTATCGTGTCTACCACCACTAGGTGTCTTGTTTCCTTACCTGTGTTCCACATTTAGCAGTGCCCGAATATCACTGGTTATCGTGTCTACCACCACCAGGTGTCATGTTTCCTTACCTGTGTTCCACATTTAGCAGTGCCCGCATGTCATTGGTTATCGTGTCTACCACCACCAGGTGTCTTCTTTCCTTACCTGTGTTCCACATTTAGCAGTGCCCGAATATCACTGGTTATCGTGTCTACCAGCACCAGGTGTCTTCTTTCCTTACCTGTGTTCCACATTTAGCAGTGCCCGCATGTCACTGGTTATCGTGTCTACCAGCACCAGGTGTCTTCTTTCCTTACCTGTGTTCCACATTTAGCAGTGCCCGCATGTCATTGGTTATCGTGTCTACCACCACCAGGTGTCTTGTTTCCTTACCTGTGTTCCACATTTAGCAGTGCCCGCATGTCATTGGTTATCGTGTCTACCACCACTAGGTGTCTTGTTTCCTTTACCTGTGTTCCACATTTAGCAGTGCCCGAATATCACTGGTTATCGTCTACCACCACCAGGTGTCATGTTTCCTTACCTGTGTTCCACATTTAGCAGTGCCCGCATGTCATTGGTTATCGTGTCTACCACCACTAGGTGTCTTGTTTCCTTACCTGTGTTCCACATTTAGCAGTGCCCGCATGTCATTGGTTATCGTGTCTACCACCACCATGTGTCTTCTTTCCTTACCTGTGTTCCACATTTAGCAGTGCCCGAATATCACTGGTTATCGTGTATACCACCACCAGGTATCTTGTTTCCTTACCTGTGTTCCACATTTAGCAGTGCCCGCATGTCATTGGTTATTGTGTCTACCACCACTAGGTGTGTTGTTTCCTTACCTGTGTTCCACATTTAGCAGTGCCTGCATGTCACTGGTTATCGTGTCTACCAGCACCAGGTGTCTTCTTTCCTTACCTGTGTTCCACATTTAGCAGTGCCCGCATGTCACTGGTTATCGTGTCTACCACCACCAGGTGTCATGTTTCCTTACCTGTGTTCCACATTTAGCAGTGCCCGAATATCACTGGTTATCGTGTCTACCACCACCAGGTGTCTTCTTTCCTTACCTGTGTTCCACATTTAGCAGTGCCCGCATGTCACTGGTTATCGTGTCTACCAGCACCAGGTGTCTTCTTTCCTTACCTGTGTTCCACATTTAGCAGTGCCCGCATGTCATTGGTTATCGTGTCTACCACCACCAGGTGTCTTGTTTCCTTACCTGTGTTCCACATTTAGCAGTGCCCGCATGTCATTGGTTATCGTGTCTACCACCACTAGGTGTCTTGTTTCCTTACCTGTGTTCCACATTTAGCAGTGCCCGAATATCACTGGTTATCGTGTCTACCAGCACCAGGTGTCTTGTTTCCTACCTGTGTTCCACATTTAGCAGTGCCCGAATATCACTGGTTATTGTGTCTACCACCACCAGGTGTCTTGTTTCCTTACCTGTGTTCCACATTTAGCAGTGCCCGCATGTCATTGGTTATCGTGTCTACCACTACTAGGTGTCTTGTTTCCTTACCTGTGTTCCACATTTAGCAGTGCCCGAATATCACTGGTTATTGTGTCTACCAGCACCAGGTGTCTTGTTTCCTACCTGTGTTCCACATTTAGCAGTGCCCGAATATCACTGGTTATTGTGTCTACCAGCACCAGGTGTCTTGTTTCCTTACCTGTGTTCCACATTTAGCAGTGCCCGAATATCACTGGTTATTGTGTCTACCAGCACCAGGTGTCTTGTTTCCTTACCTGTGTTCCACATTTAGCAGTGCCCGAATATCACTGGTTATTGTGTCTACCACCACCAGGTGTCTTGTTTCCTTACCTGTGTTCCACATTTAGCAGTGCCCGCATGTCATTGGTTATCGTGTCTACCACTACTAGGTGTCTTGTTTCCTTACCTGTGTTCCACATTTAGCAGTGCCCGAATATCACTGGTTATCGTGTCTACCACCACCAGGTGTCTTGTTTCCTTACCTGTGTTCCACATTTAGCAGTGCCCGCATGTCACTGGTTATCGTGTCTACCACCACCAGGTGACTTCTTTCCTTACCTGTGTTCCACATTTAGCAGTGCCCGCATGTCACTGGTTATCGTGTCTACCACCACTAGGTGTCTTGTTTCCTTACCTGTGTTCCACATTTAGCAGTGCCCGCATGTCGCTGGTTATCGTGTCTACCACCACTAGGTGTCTTGTTTCCTTACCTGTGTTCCACATTTAGCAGTGCCCGCATGTCACTGGTTATCGTGTCTATCAGCACCAGGTGTCTTGTTTCCTTACCTGTGTTCCACATTTAGCAGTGCCCGCATGTCATTGGTTATTGTGTCTACCACCACTAGGTGTCTTGTTTCCTTACCTGTGTTCCACATTTAGCAGTGCCCGCGATGTCATTGGTTATCGTGGTCTACCACCACTAGGTGTCTTGTTTCCTTACCTGTGTTCCACATTTAGCAGTGCCCGTGATGTCATTGGTTATTGTGTCTACCACCACTAGGTGTCTTGTTTCCTTACCTGTGTTCCACATTTAGCAGTGCCCGCAAGTCATTGGTTATTGTGTCTACCACCACTAGGTGTCATGTTTCCTTACCTGTGTTCCACATTTAGCAGTGCCCGCATGTCATTGGTTATTGTGTCTACCACCACTAGGTGTCTTGTTTCCTTACCTGTGTTCCACATTTAGCAGTGCCCGCATGTCATTGGTTATCGTGTCTACCACCACACCACCACCAGATGTCTGGTCCGTCAGTCCCAGGATACGATTCACCTCTCGTATACCAGCATCAATCTCATCTTCACCCTGCAGTCAAACAGTACAGCATCACAGACAGAAAACAACACATTATAAGTCTATTACTTCAGTAGAGCTGCAACAAATCAACTATGAGGAAAATGTGATATTTATCCTGAATATTGTATTTTAAATACAATAACTAGTCAGCAGCTGATGTATAATTACATAATAATGAAATATTCTTTAACATGGTTTGACCATGTTGACTGTGTCAAATTTAATAATATAACAGTTCTCTGCATGGCTTGGACATATTCCATTTGCATATCTTTTCACCGAATTCATAAGCAAATCGTAACAGCCCTAGACTTTAACCACTTGCCTAAATAAAAGTTTAAGTAAACAATTCTGTTTAAGCAAGCTCAACAGGTATTGAAGTACTTTCGGAAACAGAAAAAAACTGTATTTTCTCATTTATCTCTACAATTTATGTGGGTGATATGTGCAAGTGTGAAATATATGTTAAACTAAGTTCGGCCTAACTACAAGTCTCAGTGGTAGGGACATAAAAAACGTAGAAAAAAGGACTTTACTGAGGAGAGATTAGTGCAGAAATGAGCAATGCGGGTTTTTTCTAAGTCCAAAGCAGTTGATTTGGAACAGACCATGGCTTTATGCAAATTAGTGTGCGACAATATTGTACTACAAAGGACACTTTTTAAATGCCCAATTTGAAATTAGACGTAGCTTCATTATAAACGATAGCTGGCAGAAAAATAATAACTTTCATGCTGAAACTATTAAGGATGTAGCTACCATGGAGTCTCACTATCACTATAAAAAGAAACAGATAGGAGGGTTCTTCTCAAAAGCAAAACCTGGACGGGTGTCGCAGACGATTGTTGGGCTTGGGCTTGGGGATAGAGAATCAGCTTAGATAATCCTTTAGGGCAATTATACTGGGGAAGTACCCGGCATGTCATAACAATTTACAAATAATATCCAGTTCTGTCGATCTTCGTGATTGGGTGGTCATGCCACCTAATACATTTGATACAATGCGTTTCTATGGTTATCAGGTATCATACTCTTTTACATATCTCAGCATAAACTTCATGAAAGAAAGATACGTAAGATGTTAATCAATAGATGAGGCACAGTCAACACACATGAAAAAGCACAAAATATCTTTGAGATGACCCATTGTGCTTGTAGGCAGCACGTGCATTTCGTGCCAGGTGAGTCAACGGTTTATCGTCATACATGGCTGAGAGACCTAATTGCCATCTATAGTCTGATCTATTGTTTTCAGCTGCTATTCGTATTTTTTCTAAGTTTTGCCCGATTTTACGAGTAAACCATTCTCTTCCCACAGAGGTTACTTGTCATATCTTCCTACGAACCTCTGTTCTAATACGGCCATATTTCCTGGTTCTCATTAAATCCCCCATCAACAAAAAATTGCAACACGAATTATCTGCCTTCTTTCTACCCAATCAGAGCACGTGTTACATCGACTTAGATCCAACCTGACTAATACAGGCAAATGTGGGGCCACAAATATCCCTCCTCTGACGGGGACTTGTGTTGATGTGACACACAAGGCATTTAATGGCTAGCTTGTCTGTTGTCAACGAGGGCAATGGAGACGCCATTGATCCGCCATTACATGACTGAGTTCTGTCTAGAAGAAACGTTTGCCCATCGCACAGGTGAAGAGGTTCTAGTTTTCCCGAAGCATGCGGAAATTACCGAGGCCTTGGGAATGATCACTTTTGAAATAACATCACTGATTGCACAACTAAATCTGATTACAACCAATCACGAATCCTGATCACTCGCACCATGAAAGGGCCGTATTAGAACAGAGGTTCGTAGGAAGATATGACAAGTAACCTCTGCTTATATTTCCGACAGTACTTAAGTTCACACAAACAACACACACCTCAAATGATACTAAAAATATTGTCACAGTTCATTGTGACATAACTATATTTGGGCAGAAAACAACAGCATAAACGAACCTAAACTCCTGACTGACACACCTCAAAATGTTTTGGATACTCTTACCATTATACTGAACTGTCTCAATCAATTAACAAAGAAATCAAGTGAAATTTGAAAGCAAAGTAAAGGGCCCCTTCAAAACACTCTTCTAAATGTTAAAGAAGTACAGCATGAAACAACTTTAAAGAATCCAGAACCCTCTATATTAGAACTCTATCGGCAGTTAATTTCATTTTCCAAGATTCTAAATGCATCAGTCTTGCCAGATAAAACAATACCTATGGTCACAGCTGGGTCAAAACATTATCTGCGATTGAGGGCAAAAATATTTTTCATTACTTTTGGCCCTGGCATGTTAATGAGGAGGCAAACTTTCATAAAGCTACCACCTCCAACTCATGGCAAATGAACAGAGAGTCTATAAAAGAATCTTACATCTCCAGTGGGTACAGCTGTGCTATCATTTTCTTTTCCTTTCTTCTTTTTTTTCTTTTTCTTCTTTTTTGTGACAGCTTTTGGGGAATTTTCCTCGTCCTCTTCCACAGGATTTTCAGTTTTCTCTTTATTCTTTTCCTCATTCTCTTTATCTTGTTTCACATCAGCTTCATCATTAACTTCAGCTGGTTTTACAGGTTCAACTATGATCGTCTCAGGCTCCTCTTCATCATCATCATTCAGCTGAAATTGAACATTACAACATATAATATTCATTTCCAAATGTGCTACTCATATGTAGAGATTTACTCCAGTGTTTGAATTTACTGTTGAACCTCAAGGTTTTCTCCTACAGAACTTGAATGTAGGGACCTAATAAACTCCAACATTTGATGTTAGGGTTCAAGGACATATGGCTTTAATGTTACTTTTAACTCTGGATCTTGGTAATATTAACTCCTTGGTGAATATAGTCCTTCAGGTCCATGATTTCAAAACACCCAGAACTGTAGAGCTGCCCTATCCTTTAAACATGTTCAACATTCAGCAAAGTACATAACTTGAAGTGTTGGATAGTAAACCCTGAGTTGTTAATATATCAAATTGTATGTAGAGTACAGCCATAAGGTCAGATCTAATTTATTTATCAAAACTGTCTATGTCATAATGATTCACAGCTGCTGTGAATATGTGACAGCTGTTTATATCATCATTCAAACAAGGTCAGTTTTGGGCCTGTTTTATTTCATTTTCAATGTATGGCAATGCTGTTGTTTTATGCATTATTTGTTGTGAAAGACAATCCAATGATCAAAACCCGTTAGGAACCAGGTTACAACTGGTCTTGTTTTAAGAGGCGACTAATGGAAATGTGTGGTTATGCATTATTTGTTGTGAAAGACAATCCAATGATCAAAACCCGTTAGGAACCAGGTTACAACTGGTCTTGTTTTAAGAGGCGACTAATGGAAATGTGTGGTCAGACTCGCTGACTTGGTTGACACTTGTCGTCATATCCCAACTGCATACAGTGATGCTCATGATGTTGATCACTGGATTGTCTGGTCCAGATTCGATTATTTACAGACTACCGCCATATAGCTGGAATATTGCTGAGAGCGATGTTAATCAACGAACAAACAAACCAGTGATCGATATTGAAACAATCCATATTGTATCTATATTGTATCATTATCAAAGTCACCAAGCCTGACCACATAGTCAGTATGGGATTTATGACAATGTAAAACTGCAAGGTAAATATATATCCCAAAGCGAGCTGAATTCGACGTTCTGGTGTTTTCGACAATTGCATTGCTGGCGCTATATCGGGGGAGTACGTGCGCGATCGGTGAGCACAAGCAATTTCATCGGCAGGGCGGATGCCCAGTCACTGTTGTGAGAAGTTTTATTGACAATTGAAAACCGGAAGTTAAGTTGTTTAAAAACCCAAAAACATCAATATTATTTACCCGAGATCGTTAATACCACTTCAGATGCAAAATCAATTGCCTTTATAACAAAAAATAGCAAGCGAAAATTCAGTAAGATCATTCGTCTGCTGGTGACAGGCAATATTCAAATAGAAAGCCACGTTATCACAACACTCCCTCGCAGTGTCTAGCGAAAAGTATGGCTCATCGTCGAAAACCCATACAAAATCCACGGATGTGGCGAACGGCAACAGTTTCGCCGATACGATGTCATCAACCTTATTTTTGTAGGAAACACTTGATATTTTTGTGTGAAATGGTTGAATATATCCTTTATAACACAATTTTAGTGAAATTACAACTTCAAACGATATTACAGATAAAACTTACGTTTTCGTCTTACATCGTCGAAAACCCCTGATACCGCGATATAACAACGGTAATTAATCCGTGAATAGGACTTGTCTGGAAGAGCAGTTTATCGTTTCTTTGATATACCCTTTGAATCCTTTTCATCTATCAAATTTGGAAACGAAAATGGATATCATCTACGATGTGTACATTGTGAGTTGTATATGCATGCACAATTCTAAATACAGACATACCAGTTCAAAGGGGTTAAAAGCTGGTTTCCTTCGCTTATTTTTCTTTTTGCTTTTTACTTCTTGAAATTCAGCTTCTTCGGGGGAATCCGAGTCGACTATAAGTTCGACTGGGACGGCACTGAGGATGTCCCCGTCGCCCTGAAGTCTCCTTAAAGCTCTGCTAGACATGATACAGTGAAATAATTAACTTTTAGCCAAATGTCTTCCAAACCATAAGTTTTCCACTACGAAAGCTGTCTGCTTTCACAACCGGAAGTGAATCTACATTAACTCCGTTACTAATTTGAGAGGACGAAATTCTCTCTAATAAAATTGATTGCATAAAAACTAATTATTGTTAAACATATTGCAGATTTTGCTACACAGAAATGATATAGCGAGTTTATTCAGAACGAAAATTGTTGATATTCTGTGCAGGATGACAATATGGCTGCCTCCATGAATTTCACATGATTATTGAAATATTTACATCACCGGCACAATATGATTCGTCTAAGTCTCACCAGCCGAATGACATTGGTGAAAAATTGTAACACAATGTGTTTGCTACAGATCAGAGAATCAAGTAAAATCAAAATGGTGAAACAACTGAAGAAATTTATTGACAAAAGTCCAAAGTAGGTTTACTCAGCAATTTACTGACGTGATGAATCTAGAGAAAGACTTTCGCCCGTAACCCCCGTATTTCTTATTAGCCATTCTATACCTAAGAATATACTCCTAAGAGTTCATTCCGTTCCCCAACCCTAAACCTAACCCTAACTTAAATTTTGGACTTTTAGTCATTTTGTGAGTCCCCTAGTAATTGCTGTGTTAAGATTTGTTAATAATTTTAGTATATTTATAAATATTATATGGGATGGGGGAACGGGAGGAACTCTTACCGTTGTTTTTTATAAAAAGCCTAAACCTAAACCTACACCCTAAACCCTCGCAATAATCCTGATGAATAGAATAGTGAATACATTTCAATCGGGGTTTACGGGTGGAACTCTTACCCCCTTCAGAAGTTAATTAATTAATGTTCCGATGGAATTCAATGTTCTATCATTTACCACCTTCCAGAAAACACATTTGATGCACCCTGAAATTCCTACAATAATGGTCATGGGATATACATTGATCACTGCACATGAATTGTCATAAAATACCATCTGATGTAAGCTCTTACTTTAAGAAACTGAAGTGAATGTTTTGTGTACTGTCTGTAGTGTACTTTATTTTTGCAGAAAGAAGTGGCACAAGAATCCAATGGTATGTTGACAATTATTTCCATAACATGAATATGTTTTCATTAACAGAAATATTACAATGAATAAACATATTTCTCTTTCTGTCACAGATGTTAACATGAATATGGGTTACACTTACAGGTTGCCAGAGTATTTTCTGTGGTATGAGAGCTGCAATCATATTGCCGAGAGCAGTTAACTAACGCACACTGTGGTGTACGGACTAGTCTCAAACTCCTCCCTGCCTTGACCCAGTGTATGAAGTTGTATACCCAAACTTGACTATTTGCTAGAACTAGCTAAAGATATCAATAATTATCATATTTACTTTTATATTTTTCAATAATTTATGAATATCTAGTAAACGATTAGTCAGCCCTACTACAGTCCATTTGGGTTCAAATGAGAATGATGAATGATTAAGTAACTCAAAATAGCTATAAGTGCACAAAACATAAATAAGACACATGGTCCTGAAACCTCTGTACACATCAGGATCTGAAATATGATGTTTTATGATCGATCACGGAAAAAGTTGTTTAAGAAACCATCATGTAATATTGTGCTATTATCACGCTTCACAACGAGAGGTGACAAACAGCTGGTGGAACAGCGCCGGCACGCACTTCAGGTGCAACTGAGTACAGATAGGTGAGATGACCCCTACAAGTCAGGAAACAGCTGGCGCTGTTCCACCAGCCGTTTGTGCACTTATCCCTATTTCGAGTTATTTAATCATTCATTGTTCTCATTTGAACCCAAGCGTACTGCATTTGTCACTCATCCAGTGTGTGAAGTAGCGGACAGACCAAAGTTCTTCAGCACATCTGTTATTGTTCACATTGTGTAATGCATTGTTTGCAGATTGTATTTTGTATTGACCACTGAGGTTTGTAATCAGTGATAAAACGTTTTCAGATTTTTATGGATGTACTGAGTCTCAGATCCAATGATGGCATATCACCTCCCCGGCACTTAATTCCTTATTTCTCCCAGATGACGACTTCAACAACTACAAGTAGGCGTGTGAGTGATGGACAGCGTCGACGTGCAGAACAGGTCAGCACAGTGCTGTACAACTACATCACAAGCATCATAGACTCTGGAGAACTCTCACCTGCGCTAGCTGACATGGCAGTCGACATCAACCGGGTATGTGAGACAGTCATATTTTTAGTGAGACAGTCATATTTTTACAACCTTATTTGTTCTAGGTCAGAATATGTATCCAGTAACTGGTTGTCAAACAAGGCAATCAGGCCGTCAGACTCTGTAACAGTATTCTTTAAATGTAATCGTAACACAACAGAGTGTTTTATTGCTCATAATATCAATCACTAGTTCGACTTGTCCAGGCATGGTCATATTCAGGCCCCTTATATGGCGGGAATATTGTCAGTTGTGGCATTAAACACCCTCTCTCCCACTCATCCACTCACCCCACCAATGTTCCAATGTTCATCGACCGCCTCCGTGGTGTAGTGGTTAGAGCGTCCGCCCGGAGAGTGGAAGGTCGCAGGTTCGATCCCCGACCGCGTCATACCAAAAGACGTTAAAATATGGTACTTGTTGGTCCCTGCCTGGCGCTCGGCATTAATGGGTACAACAAGGACTGGTCGGCTCAGAGTCAGTATGTGTCTGAGTGGGGTATTCATGCTTCACTGCGGCATGGTATCTCAGTGGGCTAGCACTATAAAACCAGCTTAAGTCTGGGCTAGTACAAGCAGCTGCACATACACATACACACGCATGCACGTCGTCATATGAGCGAAATATTCTCAAGCACGACGTAAAACCCAATTTCACCTCACCTCCAATGTTCATCCCAGTGCAGAAAAGATTTGTTCATGCTTATGTGAAGTACAGTACAGACATTTTTGGCTTGACCGTTCTTGATCATGTGTTCGAGAGCTTGATAGGCACATGATTATTTAATTCAAACTCAAAGAGAAATTTGCTATATGATAGGTAGAATTCAGCTGTCCAGTAGAGAGGACAAAGAAGGGATATAATTTGTAATAGTCACTGGAGGGACTATGATCGAGCCACAAAGGTTTAGTGTAGTTCGGCAAGGACTGGACTTTAATTGTCAGTTAACACTTTTGCCCTGGGAAAATGCTACCAGTCTTGTAATGTTATTTTGTTTGCAGGTGAAGGTGACCCCAGACTTCAGTTCAGTGAACATCTACTGGCTGAGTAGTGGCTCAGAGAGGGATGGTGAACTTGAAATTGAGCTGAAGAAACATGAAGCTAAGCTCAGGTAAAACCTCACTGCTGTCTTTATCGCTATATGGCTGAAAACAATGCTGAAGCAACGTTAAATTTGAACTCACTCTGTCCTGGACAAAGACATAATTCAGGAAAGGATATAAAGAACCCAGCAGTCAATGAGACACCAGGATCCATGCAGAGTTGCATGCCTTGGCCATGCCAGGATCCGGTGGCCATGATCCAAGTAATTTTTGTTTAGATTTTTGTTTTACTTTTTGATTTTGCTGTTGAGAACATACACTTAATGTAAAACTGGCTAAATCTATGTATTAAGGTGTTGATGTACAAGGCCATGACCCATGAGCATCTGGGTTAGAATTGGTCTTCAGCAGCTCATGCTTGTCGTTAGAGGCAACTAACGGGATCGTGTGGTCAGGCTCGCTGACTTGGTTGACATATGTCATCGTATCTCGTATGCGTAGAACGATGATGATGCTGTTGATCACTGGATTGTCTGGTCCAGACTCTATTATTTACAGACTCAATCCATATAGCTGGAATATTGCTGAGTGCTGCGTTAAACAACAAACCAACCAACCAAACGCCATGATTTTCAACCTAGATCTATGCCACACTTGTGTTCGGAAGAGAACTTGTTGATTTAAAACTCTTGAGCAAGAGATATCTTGTGCTAAGTTTGTGATTAGAGGTAAATCAAGCTTGGGAAGTTACTCTCAAGCCAGAGCTATATGCTGGTGAATAAATCCATGCAATGGCAACAAGAAGACAAAGTCATCAATATCCCCCGCAATGGCAAAATACTCTTCATGATTATGTCTACGAGTTATGATTATGTCAAATACTTAGGTGTGTATATAGAAAGGTGGAAGGAGAGTATTGAAAGGTTTTTAAAGTTCTGCTCCAGAAAGCAGCACTATCACCAATTTCAGTATAAGTCAAACTTGTTGCCATGGAAACGCCAAAAATATTTTATTCAGAATTCCAAAACTACCAAAAGGCACAAATACACCACCAGATATATCTATGTGCCAAGTTTGGTGAAGAAACATTGAACGGTTTTAGAGTTCTGCTCCGGAAAAGAGCACAACCACCAATTTCAGTCTAAGTCAAACTTGTTGCCATGGAAGCGCCAAAAATATTTTATTCAGAATTCCAAAACTACCAAAGGCACCAGTACACCACCAGATCTATCTATGTGCCAAGTTTGGTGAAGAAACAGTGAAACGGTTTTAGAGTACTGCTCGGAAAAGAGTCCTACCACCAATTTCAGTCTAAGTCAAACTTGTTGCCATGGAAACGCCAAAAATATTTTATTCAGAATTTCAAAACTACCAAAAGGCACCAGTTCACCACCAGATCTATCTATGTGCCAAGTTTGGAGAAGAAACATTGAACGGTTCTAGAGTTATGCTCGGAAAAGACAAATGTGCGCGGACCGGACGGGACGCGACCTATGCGCATGCGCCTTACCTTACGCGCAGACGGAGAGTCCCTTTTAATACCCCCCGAAAAACGCTTTGCGGGGGATAATAAACTGTATAACAAGGAAGGATGTATGCTTATAGTTGTTAATGTGAGTGTTATTCGTGTCATTTTCCTTCTTGCAGGTCTATCCTCATCTCCTACCACATTGTCGGAACTATTCCCCAAGTCACATTTGTACAAGACAGGACGGCAGGACGGTACGCAGAAGTCGAGAAACTACTGAGAATAGCAGATTATGGCCCCGATTTTGTTCCCGGTCCCATGGGAAGCAGTATTCGAACCCTGCACCCGTCCCCGAAAGAACCCTCAGATGCAGACGTCTCTGAACAGCTGCAAAAACTATCTCTAGACTTTGCGCAAACCACTAACCATGGCAAGCATATTATTCCTATGGAGGAAAAGACTGATGGTGATCATGAGGATGTCAGCAGCTTGGTAGAAGATAAAAAGGACCCTGCGTCTGAATTAAATTTCAGAAGTGATTTGTATGGACTGAATCACGTGGAAATAATGAAGAGACTGCTTCTAAAAAAACACAAGACAAAGCATCGAAGTTCAGAAAGGACACTTGGAATTGATTCGGGAAGTGAAGACACTGTCAAACCAGTGCAAGCGCCGGACTATGAAAAGTTTTTGAGAACAAAAAATATGTTGAAGAAAAAGGCTAACTTAATAAAAAGTGATTACACGGTTCCTGATTATTATCGCTATGAAACACTACATGATTTTGGTGGAAGCACCGCAAGAGGAGGTACAACTGATGATGATTATGATACAACCGATTCTGATGACGATTCATCTGATTCTGATTCATCTGATTCTGAGGAGGATACCACTGAAAGATAAAAGAAGTGCCAATGTTTTGAGATTTTTCTAGTTTCATGGAATGTTAAGCAATGTAGCTTCTCAACTTGGAATTGTTTGTTTTCAGTATTTGTGAAACATTAAAAATAAAATGACCCAAAAGCAACTAGTTTCTTATTAAACTTCCACATCTGGAACATGTGCAGCGATGCATTTAACGCAGTGGTCTATGCCAGCCACATTCACTTTGCAGAGGTGGGGTAGCCTAGTGGTTAAAGTGCTCACTCATCCCACCAAAGGCCCGGGTTCGATTCCCAAAATGGGTGCAATGTGTGAAGCCCAATTCTGGTGTCCCCCGCTGATATTTTTTGAATATTGCTAAAAGCGATTTAGAACCCAACTCACTCACTCACTATGCAGGGTGTCTTCCCTTAGCCATGCCAGGATTTAATCATAATTGGATCAAATCAACATTTTTTACTCTTCATTTGTTAGTAGAATGCTCATGCTTGTGGGTAGCACTGAAATGGTATATGACCAGCATCACTTCCGCCCACATTTTGGTGGTAGTGATAAAGTCAGGCCGAGGAAACCCTATGGTTGACATCATCAACAGTGATCCACATCGACAAGCGACACATTAAATCCAATCAAAGTAACCACAGAATCTTCTTGAAGAGACTGCTATAAGCATTGGATGATGAGAACAAGCTCTGGGTCATTCACAGTGTCTGGAGCAGGTGTCCTCCCAACTCATCCATCGTACTGACCAGTCACTGGTCACTTTTCAAAATCCCAGCCAACTCTGATCTATCAGCGAGTGAAAGATTACATACTGCCAATATACTGATCATATTTATGTTTATTGGTGGTTTTATATTAAAGGTAACTTTCTACAAAGAAATGACATTTTGTAAGTTTTTCATCTGCTGTCAGTGTAGAAGTTAAATTGAAAAGAAGAAAGATGCTATACATTTAATAATTAACAGAAATCCTTGGTTCCCTGAGGCTTTCTCCTTCTGTATTTGAATGTAGGGACCCTGACATCTGAAACTTGAAGCAGTGGGGCCATGACAGTGACCTTGATCTTCATGTTCAAACACTGCATAAACAAATCAGCATCACAGGTAGCAATATGCACAAACGAGTTTATCACATATTACTACACTGAACAAACATTTTATATGTAACAGAAATGTATTTTAATACATTTGGAAACAATCCACAGGCCTGTTTTGTTCTGCGAAAAGCATCATGAAAACTGACAACCGCAACAGCCTGTAACATGGAGATTGTGAGAACAACTGTAACTACTGGCCAGACTATAGCCAGATTACTGCCCCCAAATATCAACATGTAGCTTCAACCTACACCCACTCTATACATCATCAGCTTCATGTTGTCTCCAGAAAATACAACACCAAAGCCTTCTCTTCCTAAATGAGTTGATGGACATGACAATATGGACCAGAACAAGACTGAGAGTGTTTTCTATTTTAAAACTTGTAGAAGTACTTCAGAAACATTCTTGCCAGGCACCAACAGGTTTAAGACAATCATCATGTGGCGCATAAAACCTTGGGGCTTGGCGACACTTTCACCACTAGACTTCTTCATCTCCTTAGTGAATAACTGAAAAGATGCCTCAGCTGCCACAAGTCCATACCATCTAACAAATATTTACATAAATAAATACAAAATAAATGTATTGCATACTTCGGCACCTATGTTGTGAAATTATTTACAACATAATGTCCCTATATGGAATAAAATATTGGCACTGTAGCCTTATATTACAAATATCTACAATGAAATAATCACACTGTCTTAGGAGTTAGGTTGTTCATACTATGTATGAAATTCAACTCTAAATGTTATTCAACATCCTTTATGTGTATGTTAAATTCCTAATGCAAAAACAACTGCAAAACAGTCTTCTTAAATTCAAACCGAAAACATGTCACGAGTGAAAAAATGCTATTTCGAGGAAACAAAACAGCAAAAATCTTATTCTGTTCCCATAATGTTATACTTTTCAGGCTGCAAAATGACCTGGAAAATGGAAACATAGTTCTTACTGATTTTTAATTGAATTTCAAACTTACAGGTCAAGAAATCAAAAAGAGGATATGGTTTTACACCACTAACTGCAATATTCCAGCAAGATGGTGGGGACACCTGGTATGGGCTAAACATGATTTACCAACATGGGAATCAAACCCAGGTCTGAAGCATGACAAGCTGCTCCAAATATCAAGTACATAGAAAATAATTAAGGAGATACATGAACAAATATGACACTTGACAGACACCATCAGTTTGACATCGCATGCTTGGGAACACGATGGCTGCCGGACACTAAAAGCAGTTGAAAGCACCAGCTCCTATCTTTATCAAGACTTGTTGAATGGGAAAGGTCTTTGTCTGTTATTTCAGCTCTATCTTATTGCCTGATCGAGAAATGGGGATTATCTCCTGTCTCAGCTCCAAGGGCAGATATTTCTCCACCAGACAATACAGGGACTCCTTTGGGGTAACAAACTTCTGCCTGTAATAAGAAGAGATTCTCGTTCATTGATATTTTTACATCACATTACAAGCTAACTCAAATAATCATTTCATTATTATGGTTTGTTTTTTTTTGGACACTATAGAGTGAGTAGCGAGAGAGTAAGGTTGACGTCACTTTTAGCAATGTTCCAGCAATATCACAGTGGGAGACATCAGAAATGGGCTTCACATGTTGTACCCATGTGGGGAATCGAACCCGGGCCTTCGGCGTGACAAGCAAACGCTTCAATCACTAGGCTACACCACTGCCCCCTTGACACTTTAGAAACAATCATTGTTTTCTAGCTTATCAAATGAATAACTCCAACAAATTTGGAAACTAGAAATCTAATTCAGCTTCGCAGATATGTGCAATGATTAGTGATGAGGACAGCAATGGCTTTGAGGGGAGGTAACTGTGACTGGTGGAAAGTGCCACCTGGTGGGTAGGCACCTCTTGGATTCTGTGTTGCGGTATTGAAGAGAGGAATCAGGATTAAATTTTTTTTGTCGACATAGCACTGCAAGGTGGTGCTCCCTTTAGATTTCAAGATGGTCTCCGTAAGTGGTCACTAACAGCATCAGGGGGGACAGGCTCACTGACTTGATTAATTATTCATGTCATGGGTTCCCAATTGAGAATGATGGAATATTTAACAAATTTAAAACTACCTCTTCATCAGCAATTCCACATCAGATTCTTCAATAGTCTTGCGATGTGCGTGAAGAGCATATGACTCCAAATCTTTGGCTGCATTTTCCCAAAACTGAGCAGACCTGTTTAAATAGTCAGTAGCCATAATATTTGCCTTAATATCATCTGCTGTCATAATAATCTCAACAGCTATGTACCACTTGTCCACAAGAAGAAACTCTGAAATGGCTAAATAAACCATAAGGTCACAAAATCTATATTTCAAACTGACAAAATACTTCAAGGATTAAAACGAGAGAGTTGAGTTTAACACTTGAACAACTGTTTCAACAAACATGTACAATATCAACTTGAATATCAAATGTTTATTGCCTGTCTGAATTAGTTTGCATACTCCAGAAACACAACAACATGCTTAAGAATGTAGAACCACTTACGCTTTTTCCACTTCAGCAATGGCATCTTTGGAGACTTTGGCAGGACAGAAGTGAGAAAAGAGCCCTTTAACAACACTAGTTGGCATGTAGCTATTGCTGAGTTTCTTCTGCTGGGCAGACTTCTTCCTTCCCTTCTGCCTGCAAGCAAAGGTTTGGGGCTTGAATTGTTGAGGCACATTAACTGTTGTGAAAGTGTTTCTACAAGTTAGAATTTAAGGCAAGTAAATGCTGTTTTGAGTTGAGTTGCGATTTTACTTCCCATCAGCATTATTTCAGCCATAAGTACATGAGACAAAATTCACACATACACACAAGTCAATTATTAACACAGTCATACCCAAAAGCAAGTTTCTATATACACACTCAACATCACAATACTTATTACAATCAAGAACACTTGCCAAAAGCCCAAATGTTAAGAACAAAAAATTGGCGATGAATATATGTTGCCGAAAGCTGTATTTCTTCTTTATTCTTTCCTATACATGTCTCTCAACTATCTAATAACAAGGAGTTGTACGTGCTACCTGTATCTGATGCACAGGCAATTCACGGGCTTTTACCTGTGATGTCATGACAATTTGAATTCACATTCGATCGTCACATGTCGGCCTTGGATGACAGCTATCAACATTTTCTGATGTTGACCTTTCAAATTTGAGGCTATTAAACAGCTTTTTAAACAACTTGTCTTCTAATATTTGTTTCGGACAATAAGTGAGTTAGTGAGTCAAGATTTTAAGTCACATCAGCAATATTTTAGCCATATCGTGACTATATCAAGTTATAAATATACTAACAATTAAAGGCAAATTATAAAATTCTGTCAGTGAAGGACAGTAAAACAACTAGATTATCACAGATATAAATATAGAACTAGTAATTAAATCTAAAATATTTTAACTATAGATGACAGTACAATATAAAAACAGGCTATAGATTGCCAACAACTGAAGGTAGATCACCATATTACTAGGGACCATGGGGAATTATCGGACAATAAGAGACTAGAACCTGCGACATATATACTGAGAGAAGTACATAAAGGATCACTGGAAAATTCAAGCGTTCCTTTATTATTTTCCAGTTTTCATCACCACAGCGCTATTCAAAGCTGGTGATGAAAACTGGAAAATGTTAAAGGAACGCTTGAATTTTCTTGTGATCCTTTATTTCTTTCTCTCAGTATATATATCTATAGTTTACATCATTTACAGTATATATATCTATAGTATACATTGCTGGTTCCGTTGATGGATATCATTGCATATCAGTCAAATAGATCAGTTGCAAGGTTCATGCAGAGATTGCCAACCCTGAATCTAAGGAAAACAGAGTCATGACTGAAAGCCAGCCCTGAGCACCAAAGGTGACAGTTGGAGGTGAGCATGTGGTCGGCTCTGCCATTTTGTTTCACTTTCATACAGACTATGACATACATTCAGAAAAACTTTGTGAAACTTCATCGTCAATAACACGCAATATACACAATCGACACCCAAAGGATCACACACTAAGCTTCTGAAACCGAAAATCACTGGTGACTTACGAAATTGTATACCATAAACATAAATTCAGAATTTGTTCTAGAAAATCGGAGTTTTTTTAAAGAGAAATCGGAAAGCAGATTTTGTATTTGAAAATCGGAGTAACTCTGCCAATAATTTGAGTAGTTGACATCTCTTTTCATGTCATCAATCACGAGATTGTCTGATCAACTGTGTAGCTGTCACATAACAAGAATATTGTTCAGTGCAGCGTTGAACAAATACACAAACTGGGGTAAAACATATATTGTGTTCTATAGTAATTGCATATAGATATAAAAGCTGAGAATCAGATGTCACCTAAGAGTCCTGTTAGACATGAAAAGATACATTTTTGGAATATCAAAAAATAATTCAATGACAGAATATAAGCCCTTGAGCTTCCCTGATTCAAGTGGAGCCTTACTTTGCAGCTTTTTCCCCCTGCTGTACAGATGGGGGTTTAGGAGTTGAAGTGACTACAGGCAACCGCTTCCTTGAACTCAGTTTCTTCTTCAAGTGGGGAGTCCGCAGCGGGGTGTAGTATTCACGAGTTTCCCTGCAGAGGAAAAACATTGATCAAAACGAGATAATGAATTACAGAACTAGGCTCTTTGACATATTTTTCGTTTACAACAAACTACATTAGACCTAATACCTATTGCCAACAAATCTGGAAAAAGCTAGCTAGCATTCCTTATGTCTATTTAAGTCTCATCAGAAACAGGTGAAATTCAGTACACACAATTATGGTGCATATCCAGTTTAAGACTTACCCATCTGCTGCAGGGATTATGCTCTCTTCCGGTTCACCATGAAAACTATCATCATCATCATCAGACTGCGAATAGAAACAGATTAATAAAACAACAGGAAAATACTGACAATAACCAATACTCCTCGCGCTCTCTTCCGGTTCACCATGAAAACTATCATCACCATCATCAGACTGCGAATAGAAACAGATAAATAAAACAACAGAGAAATACTGACAAGAACAATACTCCTCGCGCTCTCTTCCGGTTCAACATGAAAACTATCATCACCATCATCAGACTGTGAATAGAAACAGATAAATAAAACAACAGGAAAATACTGACAAGAACCAATACTCCTCCCGCTATGCTTTGACAAGAGGCCAGGGGTCACTGTGAGATTGCTTGGTTCACGGTGGTCAAGACATGTATGACAGTACTTAAAATGGTGGCCGACTGAAGGGGCGTATGTCAGTACTTAAAATGGCTGAGTGAAGGGCCGTATGACAGTACTTAAAATAGCGGCCTACTGAAGGGCCGTATGTCAGTACTCAAAATAGCGGCCAACTGAAGGGCTGTATGACAGTACTTAAAATAGCGGCCAACTGAAGGGCTGTATTATAGTACTTAAAATGGTGGCTGACTGAAGTGCCGTATGTCAGTACTTGAAATGGCTGAGTGAAGGGCCGTATGACAGTACTTAAAATAGCGGCCTACTGAAGGGCCGTATGTCAGTACTCAAAATAGCGGCCAACTGAAGGGCTGTATGACAGTACTTAAAATAGCTGCCAACTGAAGGGCCATATGAAAGTACTTAAAATGGTGGCTGACTGAAGGGCCGTATGTCAGTACTTAAAATGGCTGAGTGAAGGGCCGTATGACAGTACTTAAAATAGCGGCCTACTGAAGGGCCGTATGTCAGTACTCAAAATAGCGGCCAACTGAAGGGCTGTATGACAGTACTTAAAATAGTGGCCGACTGAAGGGCTGTATGACAGTACTTAAAATGGTGGCCGACTGAAGGGCCGTATGACAGTACTTAAAATGGTGGCCGACTGAAGGGCTGTATGTCAGTACTTAAAATGGTGGCCAACTGAAGGGCTGTATGACAGTACTTAAACATGTGGCCGACTGAAGGGCCGTATGACAGTACTTAAAATAGTGGCCGACTGAAGGGCCGCATGACAGTACTTAAAATGGTGGCCGACTGAAGGGCCACATGACAGTACTTAAAATGGTGGCCGACTGAAGGGCTGTATGTCAGTACTTAAAATGGTGGCCAACTGAAGGGCTGTATGACAGTACTTAAACATGTGGCCGACTGAAGGGCCGTATGACAGTACTCAAAATAGCGGCCAACTGAAGAGCTGTATGACAGTACTTAAAATGGTGGCCGACTGAAGGGCTGCATGACAGTACTTAAAATGGTGGCAGACTGAAGGGCTGTATGACAGTATTTAAAATGGTGGCCGACTGAAGGGCCGTATGACAGTACTTAAAATGGTGGCCGACTGAAGGGCCGTATGTCAGTACTTAAAATGGTGGCCAACTGAAAGGCTGTATGACAGTACTTAAAATGGAGGCCGACTGAAGGGCCGTATGACAGTACTCAAAATAGCGGCCAACTGAAGAGCTGTATGACAGTACTTAAAATGGCGGCCGAAATTAGGGCCGCATGACAGTACTTAAAATAGTGGCCGACTGAAGGGCCGTATGTCAGTACTTAAAATGGTGGCTGACTGAAGGGCTGTATGACAGTACTTAAAATGGTGGCCGACTGAAGGGCCGCATGACAGTACTTAAAATGGTGGCTGACTGAAGGGCCGTATGTCAGTACTTAAAATGGTGGCCAACTGAAGGGCTGTTTGACAGTACTTAAAATGGTGGCCGACTGAAGGGCCGTATGACAGTACTCAAAATAGCGGCCAACTGAAGAGCTGTATGACAGTACTTAAAATGGTGGCCGACTGAAGGGCCGCATGACAGTACTTAAAATGGGGGCCGACTGAAGGGCCGCATGACAGTACTCAAACATGTGGCTGACTGAAGGGCTGCATGACAGTACTTAAAATGGTGGCCGACTGAAGGGCTGTATGTCAGTACTTAAAATGGTGGCCAACTGAAGGGCCGTATGTCAGTACTTAAAATGGTGGCAGACTGAAGGGCCGCATGACAGTACTTAAAATGGTGGCCAACTGAAGGGCTGTATGACAGTACTTAAATAGGTGGCCGACTGAAGGGCTGTATGACAGTACTTAAAATGGTGGCCGACTGAAGGGCTGTATGACAGCACTTAAAATGGTGGCAGACTGAAGGGACGTATGTCAGTACTTAAAATGGTTGCAGACTGAAGGGCCGCATGACAGTACTTAAAATGGTGGCAGACTGAAGTGCCGCATGACAGTACTTAAAATGGTGGTCAACTGAAGGGCCGTATGTCAGTTCTTAAAATGGCTGAGTGAAGGGCTGTATGTCAGTACTTAAAATTTTGATAAACCTGTAGAGGTTTCCAATTCTTTGAAGAGAATCGTCTTTGGGGTACATATTAGTGGTGGTCCGATTAATTGAAATAATTGAAGATTGGTCGCAGTGACTAAACAACCAAGCAATCAATCATGTTTTCTCAAAATCGAACACAAACAACTTTGGACCACCTGCTTGCTTTAACAATATTTCTCACAAGGTTGGTTTTGTCTGTTTCATTTCATAAGCACCACCAGCTCGTTCCAAGTCAGGATATTAAAGACTTCAGGAAATGTATGTTCCTAACATACTAGTCATCCTTTAAAGATGTGAAATTTGCAAACGTATTTTGTGCAATTTGCAAAAAACTCACCAGAACTACACCAGGAAAATTTGATAAATGACGCTAACCAATTATTTTCGATGATTGATCGGTTGTAATGAACCAATCATCAATTATGAGATTTTAACCAATTCCCAACACTAGTACATACAGTACAACCAGAAAGTATTGAGAATTTAAAGATTGTAATTTTTTTTTAAAAATTCACTCATTATTCATGTATTATATGTGAATATTAGCAGAACATAACTCAGATTCAAAGACAGGTGAACAGTTAGTATTTTGTCAAGTCACCATGGGCAGCAATGCAGGCTTCAATGCGGCAGGGCATACTACTGATCAAAGAAGTTAGAAAGTCGTGGTCCATGCTGTCCCAATATCGGACCATCTCTTCTTTCATTTCAACAATATTCGTCAGATATTTCTTATTGACACTTTCCTTCATAAGTCCCCAAACATTTTCTATTGGATTTAGGTCAGGGCTATAGCTTGGCCAATCTAATAATGTTATATTTTGGGTCCGAAACCAGGCCTGTGAATGCTTTGAACAATGTTTGGGGTCGTTGTCCTGCTGGAAAATCCAAAAATTTCCATAGAACACGTGAGCAGATGGAAGTAAATGTCCCTCGAGAATATCTGTGTACCGCCCACTGTTCATATTCCCTTCAAATCATCTGAGAAAATCACATTGTCCCAGTTAAAATTTCTATGCTGTAAGCACCAGTTCAACCTTCGCTCCTTTTGTCCAGGTTTCATGATCGGTGATGGAATTCCTCAACTTTTCTGCCAACCCATTGCATGCAGCTCAGTTCTAATTGTCTCCTTACAGACAGCCACAGTTCCTCTATCAATCATATCCAGCCTTAAGTTTTCTAAACTCCTTCGTTTGTTTTTAGAAACAAGAATACCAAGCCGCCTCCTATCACCGACAGTCAATTTGCTGGGCCTTCCTGCGCCTCCCTGGTGCTCAATGCCATATCCATTTGCAATATTTTTCAAAACACGATAAACAGTGGACAAAGGGATGCCTGTTCTACTTGAAATCACTTTAGCTGATCTGATGTCCTTGTTATAATACTCTAAAATCAACTTCCTCTTCTCTAAATCATCCATACTGAGGATCACTGAAAATGTTGTCTGCTAGCAAGTAAACAAAGGGGGATAACTCTTCACAAACTAATGAAAAAGGATTAACAGAGTTGTCTCTCTTGATTGAAACCAAGCACTTGATAGCTGGTCAAGGTTGTTTATACTAGAAATCCAATTAAACATATTCCTAAAATTCTCAATAATATCTGGTCATACTATATATGCATTTTCTGCGGCTGAAAATGTCATGTGACAGTTGTATCAATGTTTTAAAAAAAATATTGTACAATAAATAAAAACTTTTTTATTTATTATACGGCCCCTACCACATGGAGTTACCTCCCTGCTACGCATGTGCAGCCAACCAGGTAAGCACCCAGCCCCGTATCATCATTCCTTCTGCTGAACAGAACTGCGGGGAGGTGGGTGGCCCTACCCCAAGGACAATTCTCTTCAAAGAATTGGAAACCTTTAGCCTTTACAAGTTTATCTAATTCTTTTTCATAGAGATCGTCCTTGGCGTACATATATGCATTAACTCAGACTCCCAAAGACCGGAGGCTAGGGAGGAGGGAATTCTGGCACAGTACAAATAAATAGCGATCGTTACGCCATAACACTCACCTGTCACGTGTCCTGAAGCTTCCGCGAGAGGCATGATGGGAGGGTAACTGACAGGGAGGAACGTACCGAGACCCGACCTCAGAAGTTAAGCAAAACAGTGCGCACACAGTGCGAAATTAAAAACCCCGCCCACATCGTGAAATCTATAAAGAGCACCGTAAAGGGGAGAACCAACTTACAACCAACTAGTATCTCATGAGAGAAATCGAAAGTAGTTAGATATGTCAACAGCGGATATATCAATTATACACAATTGAAAACAGCGTCATCTGTCCAGATAACCAAGACTCACTCAGTCAGGGTGGCAGGACACTGTCCACTGGAGAGAACAGAATGGCCAAAACGCGTTCGATCACGGGAATGTGTATCAAGCTGATAGTGCCTTATAAAAGTGCTAGGCCTAGCAGAGCATATCTCTTCAATGGGCAGTGCCAATGCAAAAGCCTTTGAAGTGGCCACTGCCCTGACTGAGTGAGCCTTCAACCCCTCAGGGGGAGGCTTGCCCTTAGCCTGATAAGCACTACAAATGACCAATACAAGCCACAGAGATAGGGTCTGTTTGCTTGC